TCGCATTAAATGACTGACAATCCTCCACTTCTGATGTTTTTTTTCCGACGACGTACTGGTAATTTTCATAAAGCCAACAAAGTCGTCGAATTCCGATCATAACGGCCTCTGTCACACACTCATCGGCTGTTATTGAGAGACTTATAGCACGGTAATAACACGGTATAGCACGGCTCAAAATCGACTTTGGCCGCTCAGGTACTGATATCCGATTTCTTTCAATGTTGTTCTGGGACCGCCCCAGCACTCGTTCTTAGGTTTCCGGCTATAATTTTTACATTCTGATTCGCATCAAGCATGCAAATTATTGCTTTATTTCGCCCAATACTACCTTCACAGAGACCGAATGTTCAAATATGTCTGATTTTTTGGAAAATCTGCAGGTGACAGTGGAGTACTTGAAGGACAAAGGCGCATGTAAACCGTTGCGGGTGCACACAGTTGTGGTGTCAATCCAGCACGACCAGTACGTGTCTATCGAGAGACTGCGTTCGGAGGTCATGCAATGCGTCGTCCGTCAGGTGATCCCGAGCTACCTTATTGACAAAGATACCATATTTCACATCAATCCGTCTGGACGTTTCGTCATCGGTGGTCCGCAGAGCGATGCGGGTCTCACTGGTAAACAGTTTTGAGGCCTTTACATCATTTTATGCCTCTTATTTCGAATGTCTTCCCTACAAACAAAACTACGTTTTTAAGCCTCTGTTAACCAAAACTTTACTTAGCGTGTAGGTAAATTGCATTTTATTAAAATTGTTGGATGGTTTTTATGATCGCAAGCAATGCTCTGTCCGCTATTGTTCCACAAGTCGTCGCAACCGCAACTTGTATATGAATTTGCTTATAATGAAAGGGAATTGCACGGCACGTAATTCACTCTCCCCACACACACCCCGGCCTAAAGACACGCAGAATGAACGTAGGCCTAGTGACCGATGCCATGAAACTAACTAACATTCTGAAATGCATTTTCGCTTACTTTAGTGGAACTGTAATATTGATCGTTGTGTAACATAAGCACATACTATTTTGCTCACGTGAATCACGTGAATAGTAGATGCCGTCTTTTGAATTCCTTTCTTTCGAGTCGCCGGCGAAATCCACACTCGATTAAAAATACTTGAGTAGTATTGAGTACTTTCGATTCCTTGATTGATTGCTGTCTACAATGGATTGCTTATTTGATGAAATCCGAGGATTTTTACAAGTTACGCAAAATCAGCCCAAGCTGCGGCCGCCAAAGTCTTATAGCAATAAAGTGACGCTCGTTCTTCAACATGGGGCAT